ATTGATTGTAAAGTGAATGAACCTAAAACCAAGTTCTTACACAGAGAAGGAATAAAACAGGAAAAGTTCAAAGAACGGAGGAAAAGTTCAAAGAACGGATTTAAGAAACTTATTATTCTGGCAATTGTAGAAGATGTTAAAGAGAATCACCAAAACATTAAGCAAATTATAGAAATATTGGGAATTGCGGCTAAGAAGTATTTTTTAGCATTTAATTTAAAGCTTGCGAATATTTATTTCGGAATTGAAATTGCTTCTTCTACTCACACTTGCAGTTGGTGTGAATTGTCAAAGCAAGACATGCAGGATTTCGCAACCTGTAGCCGTAAAAGGTAATTAGGAATTAGTATGGCATTATAAATTATTTTTTTTACAGTCAAAACATTGTTCTGTATATTTTTTTAATTTGGGATTTTAATCTACTTTTTTTCCAGAACACTTGGTATGATTAGAGATAATGCAAAGAATTACAAAAAAAGCTTGTCAGAATCACAGAAAAAAAAAGTAAACTCTCGGCTGCACCGTTTAAGAATTGTATGCAAACTCCTTTGATAGACCTACCAGATGATATATCTGTTGCAGAAACCCTTCTTCCAATGGAGCTTCATTTATTTTCATTTTTTGGAATAAATCAATTGGATTTATTAGGCCAAGATTGCACAGCGGTTAATTTAAGGGAGGGCAGTGTTCTAAGCTATTGGATAACAGAAATATTAGACAATATTCTCAAATCCAATTTCGAGGTTGTACTAGATGAATTGATAAAACTTATGAGTGCAATGAAAGCACTAAATAATGTGAAGAAAACTTGCTTTGGTCTAAGTTTGGATATGTCTTACAAGAATCACATCAACTCCTACAAGAAAGCATAAATGGCATTGAACGAAAAATCACCAAAAGTACATGCTCTAATCATCCATGTACCAGCCTTTTTGAAATCAATGGCTGACAAATACCCTGAAAAAATTCTTGAATTTTGGTCAAAACAGGCTTCTGAATCTATTCATTATGATTTCAAATAGTTTTATGAGCAAGGATACAAAGTTCCAAATTGTCACAAATTGTACCAATCAAAACTGCTGAGATCGGTTATTGTTTATAATAGTAGACAAACACATTTCAAGATTTAATTTTAAAGGAGACTTTTATATTTTTAGAAGACATAATTTTAATTTCATATTTGTTATTTATATGTATTTAAATATCAAAGTTATAATATGGTTTCATTTGTCATAGAAAATAACTAAACAGCTTTATATAATATAAATATTCCATCATTTTTAATCCTCCTTATAAAGATAATAAACTTGACCAATACATCAGTATTGTTTTTTGAAACATTAGGGAATAAAGTTGTTAGAAAATGTTTGCACAATAAGTAAGTAGCCATAATTTATATGAGAACATATAAATTACTAACAAATAAAAGCTCTGTCTATTGTGAATATTTTAAAGCTTTTAAAATATGTAATAGTCATCGAACAGTTCATGACCGAATAAATAGTTTAATAGATATACAAGGAAAGATACTGGCTTTTTCGGTTTACAATAATGTCTTTTTTTTTCTTGGACCTCGAAATTTTTTTTTATTGGTGTTATTTTCTGAAAGTAGAGGTCAGTACGGATCCAAAAAAGTCAAATTGGTTTGAACCTACTTCCACCGGGGTATAATTAGACTTATATATGATAATATTGTATATAGGTATGAAACTAAATTAAATTTCGTAGAAATTTAATTCAGTACATATATAAGTAGAAAGTGCATAAAGAGATGAATGAAACTTATTCGTTGTGTAACGATAGGTTTGGAAACTCTCCATCAAATTCAGTGAAAAAGAAAGGACTCCATACTTCAAAGAGAAACTGAAATGAAAAAGGATTTTATGATTTAAATAGGTATATTTAAATATATAGGATAAAATAGAATCAAATGCTAATGATAAACAGATTTAAACTATATGGCAAGTTTATATTAAAGTTGTATGGAATTACTTTTATTTAGATATTTTGGTCGAAAGTTAAAAGAAAACCCAATCGGGACTGCTCTTGTGCATCATGATTGCAGAAGAAGATTTGATGATACAAGGAATACAAATATAGAAGTTGTCCCAATTAAGAAACTACGATCATCTTCAATTATAGATGTACGTTTCAATTGAAAATTCTGCTGCTACCTTTGTACCAAATCAGCTGACGGTAGAAACAGTCCTGTTACTCAAGTGAAAAAGTTACCATTTTGAAATAAGCTTCATAACCAATGTAAAAGTAGAGCTGATAGGGAAGAGAAGTTTTAGGTCGTTTATCAAATTTTATGATCTTGGTGCAGAAGAAGCAGTTCATCACATTCCTTGTATGAACAAATTCAGACTTAATTTACTAACTGGAAATAAAAAAGGTCGTCCGACAGATGATTTCATGCTTCTTAATTTTTACAAGGTTTGTGATTGATTAGAAAAAGATGCTAGTTGTGACCTTTGTACACTAAACGAGATAAAAATCTTAGAGCTTAGTAAAGATTCTCCATTGTGGTACTCCATTAAACATTTGAAAAATAAACTTGTAGGATATTACGGTAATCATAAATTTTTTGGAGAAGCACCAGGTTGACAAAATCTTATTTGCCTCAAAGACATGACTTGATTCATAATGGAAAATTTTACGAAAAAAGACAAACAAACATCCGATGACATCATTGCAGCTGCAGCAAAAATCATAAAAAACAACATCACAGAACTTTTCTATGATAAATTTAACTATCCTATAATTAATCAAATGAACGATTTGAATTATGCCAAAAACTGGGTTCCAGTAAGCCTTCTCAACATTTTAAATACTTGATTTCATCAAAACTGAAGCAATTCAGTATTGGTCAGTGCATTGCTCAATGCTCTAGACCAAAATCAATGATTGCATTGATTCTTTTTGGAGTTGGAGTGAACATTGAGAAATCTTTTGCAACAAAATGGCTTGCAGATCATCTTTCTAGACTTGGATTTAAAGAAATTCAAAGAAATCTCCACGTCCTAATTGGCCAGGATTCATGCAACATGTTGTAATTACATGCAGTAACAAGTTTCAAAAGGCGACTATCAATTTTCTTCCCATTATTGATATAAATCCTTTAGAAAAGTCTTGTATTTATTCAACAATTCAATTTGTAATATCTTAAGTTAAAAAATTCGGCATATTTACACCATGTAATGGTGAAAGCTATTGGAATTGTAAAAAATGAAAATCTCAACATTGTGTGCAGACTTGGTGGATTTCAAACAGTCATGAGTTTTCTAAGCTAATGTCTGGATCAGGACTTGAGAAAGTCTTCGAAAAAGTAGTATACTGTTTAACATATGTTTTTAGGAAAGGCAGTTGTTAGATCTCCTAGACCTCACATCTTTTTTTCACAAATTTTTAATTTTAAATTTCTAAAATGACATTTCCTGTTCTCAAAAACTTTTTTGGTCATTGCTTACATGCTAATTAATCTATGTGCAAAGTCCTAACTTTATATGTCTTTTTTCTAGGTATGACTCCAATTCCACTATACTATAGATGTTTGTGTTTTAGGTTTGCAATCGGTTATATTCACTATATTTTGATCGACTATATCCAATACCTCTACTTTATCAGTCAATTTTAAGTAAATTCAATTAAAATTTAGGAAGTAGTATTTGAGCAAAATCTGAATTGATAAAGCCGCATTTCGCTTATAGAAAAAAAAATCTTAAAGACAATAGGTATATATAAAAGAAACACTTGGAATTTAAGAGCGTGTATATTTTGAGACCATTGTAGACAACTCTTTGGTTAAAACAAGGTCTGGTAACAGGGTGGACTTTCCCATCAATAAACTAAAAACGGTTTTTTAATGTTGCTTTTATTTAGGAAATTGTACTGGAAAATTCTCCTAACTTTATGAAATAAAATAGCGGCGTGGCAAAATTGTTTAACAAATAACCAAAATGGCTAAAACTTTGTCCGCAATAAGATTCAAAAGAATGATGTAATCAGGAACAAGGTGGACCAAACCTCGGAATAAAATTTGAATATTTGCAGGGGTAAAAAATTTTTTTTAATTAAATGCAGAGGACTTTTATTCTAATCACAGATAAACAGTTATATGTTAAAGCTAGTTTCAATCTAAAAAAATCTACTTTTTTAAATCGAAATTCTAGCCATGCTTCAACATCATCTAATTTAAAATGTTTGTAACACCAATAACGGTAATATAACTTAAATTCAACGTCATCACTGTTGCTACTTTCGCTGAAAGATAACAGCGTCAACGCTGCTGTTATCTTTTAACGGAAGTAAGGTAAAAAAATTCCTCTCGAAAAACGATTTGGTAGGTATGAACTCAGCCATATTTAGAATTTTTAGATAAAAATGTTTTTATAATCCGGCAGTTAAAATTAGACTAATATATGCAGCTTAGAGTTATAGCTTTCTTGTACAATTTGTTTCAGCCCGATCAAATATATACCTATTGAATTATGAGTCTCAATACAAAATAATTAATTTTAATGCATATTCCCAATAGTTTATTTACAAATTTAGCATGAATCCATTTTTAAAAAAATTTAGCATGAATCCATTTTAAAAAAAATTTCTGACGCTTATATATTACGTATTTTAGCACATTTAAACTCAGATCACCGGAATTTAAACAATATTAAGATTTGTATGAATTCTAGATTTTAAGATGGTAAATCAAAGATAATTGAATCAAATACTCACTACTTACAAGTGCTTAATTAAAAGGGAGAAGAGGGGACGTTTATAAATTTACGGGGAAAAAATCCCCCTCCTCCACCCTTTCTTCAGCGGATTTGAAAAAAAATTTTTTTTTTCAAAATGTCCAGTGAGCTTAGTGATTTGACTGCAGATTTATTTTCATATTTACCTTGATTACATATGAAAAAATAAAAAAAATTCTACTTAGTAATAGAAAACCTTTTAATCCTATTCATTATATGAGAACTTTAAATTTTTTTAAACTAATGCTGATTGAATTACACTTTATTTTCTTCAAAAAACAAAGTATTACAAATAAACTCAACTAGTGCTAATTGTATTATATTGCTCAGATAATTGTGTAATAATTTGTCTAATTTCTTTTCTCTTATTCGCAACTATTTCTAAAGTAAACCAATGTTCGAGATGAATTGGAAACTTAAAGTTTGTAATGGGCAATTTAAAGAATGATTCAACATATTGTAATAAAAAGATGCCACAATCGCAATCGTTGTTTTGGCGTGGTATAATTGGATACGAACCACTCATAGTAACTTTGTCAAATGTCTTTAATACTTTAGAAGTTTTACGGTTAATCCACTCCATAGAAATATAGTTTCGCAAATTAGTAAAAACTGATGAATGTCCCCCACCAGTAAGAGAATCAAATAATAATATACATGGTCTAACATAAGTTTCTTCGTAATCATTAGCCTGTTTGTGTCGAGTTTGTTCTTTAATAGCTGCTACTTCAGGTTGAGTAAATGTGTTTTCTTGTAGTGATTTTGAACTAATATTAAGCTCATTTAAATTTGCAGGACTTGGCTCTGGAGACGAATCATATGAAACTAATCTTTTATTTACTTCAAGAGGAGCATTTGTATTAATAAGTTCATTCTGTGGTTTATTCATGATAAAATTAGTAGAATCGTTTACAGTCATATTGGCCTGGCATGGAGATTCAGAAACTTCTTTTGAATCTTCGTCTGAATCTTCTTCTCCAGCTACTTCATCAGAAAAGATATCATTCTTAGTTGATCCAGGAAAACATATTATTGCTAAAAACCAATGAGAATGTTCATTAATAGGAATCACTACAAAATCTTTTTCAAATATGTCAACATTTCGTGTCCATTTTTTAACTTGATCATGCATTTGAACAGGATTAGGTTTAGGTGACTGCTTTTGGGTTAAACGTTTATAGAAATATGAATTGAAAATATATGTTCGTTCTTTTTGTTGAGATGTTAAAATGTTATCAAAAATATATTTTAAATAGAAGTCAATTATGATGTCATTTAAGTATGTGCCATCTTGTAAGCATAACAAATCTTCATTAGTTATCGGTATCCCCCCACTCCCGATAGTTTTTGTGGGTAGTGGATACACAAGAACTGTCTGCACTGGAGAGTAAACAATTTCTTTTTGACAAACGTCAAACTTTAATTTTTCAACAAAGAAACATGCATCTGCATGTGATAATATTGTTAATTTAGTCCACGGTAAAATACACTGGCTAAACTGGTGCACTTCCTTGATAGCATCACATTCATTTTTGAAAGCAAAAGCTAATGCAAGAACAATAAAACGCTTCTGAAGGTTATCTGAATTTGGAACTAATACATCTTTTCCTATACGTTGACAAGCTACTTCCGAAAATCTTTCAGCAGTTTCAATTGCAACAATTGAAGGTACTCTGCCAAAATAAACAAGCACTCGTTGTACATCTTTTTGGCCAACAGAAAGAGTATATTTCTCTGTAACAGTAGTTTCTCTATTAATGCTACACTCTAAGCTTAGATAAATACGACTCTTTACGATATTTGTTGGTGATATGGCACGACCGTATAATTCACCAAACATTGCCTTATTACAATCAAACTTGTATTCATTTGGTAACTGAGTTGGTTGCACAACTATTGGATAAATAAGTGTTGGTTTTTCAAAACAACTACCATGATGAACTTTTTGCTCAGAAACTACAGAGGTGCTTTTCATTTCATCTGATGCTACACAGTGTTCGTCATCACTAGAAACTAAATCAATAGTCTCTGCAGGTTTAATTTTTTTATAAGGTCTAACAACTTTTGTGCTGTTGGAACGTCTTTTATTCTCGTTAATTGCAAGATCACCAGGCACCAGGTTCCCAGGTACACTTGTCAATATTGACTCATTTACACTTTTATCACCACAAAATGAATTTTTAGCTGATTGGAAAGAGTTATCTGTTGAATCAATAAGTTGAATAGGGAAAACTTTTTCACATCTTAAACACTTTAACACGTTTTTAATATCTTGTTGACCATTTAAAGTTTTGCAATACGGGCAGATAGCTTTTGAACAATTTAAAACTGTATTAATTGTAAGCGTACCTGTTTGTTTATCATCTTGTGATTTACTAACATTTGATAAGCAGAATTGAACAGAGGGGGAACATGAATTGTTTGTCAATACACTGGTATTTAAGGAAACTGTTGAGGTGAAAACAGTTGGAGTGAAATCTTCGATTTTAATATTATCTTTTTTTCCAGCAGAAATCGTATGTGGTATATTTGTCTTATTTGTATTTGTAGGTAAACTCACTATACTTGTTTCTGTCCCAGTTATATTTTTACATAACAAATTTTCTGGATTTTTTTGAATATTAACCCTTTTATTTCCTTTAGGTTGTAAATTCCCATTTTTTTGTACATTTGTACCAATAACTTCTTTAGATAAAACATTTCCAGCATTTTGACTAATTAATACAGGACGTGCATGTAGAAATCTGTTTTTTACAAAAACTGTTCGATCATCTTTTTTTTTTTTTTTGGAAGGAGTTTGCTTTGATTCTGTATTCTCTAGTAAACTGACAGCCTCTGAACCATTACTTGAAACAACTTGTAACAATGCATTTTTAACTCGAGTTTCATGGCTCACGTCAGACATTCTTTGTTTTTCCTAGAATAATTCACATAAATTAAGTTTGTTAAATAGGTGCTATCCATTAATTATGTCAACGAATTTTTGGCAATTCTTACCTCCCCTCCCCTTTGACAACTATTTGTCAAACTTCCAGAGACATATAAAATTAAATTTTTTAAATAAACTAAAATTTTTAAGTAAACTAATCTTTTTAAAAAAATATTATGATATCAAGTTTTTTTTTGACTTTTTTTCCACTCCCCCTTCTCAACAATTGATAAAAATTTTCAATTGTTGAGAAGGGACCCCTCTCAAGACCCCTCCCCTCTATTTTGTTGACATAATTAATAGACAGCCACATACCATATTTTTAAATAAAATTCCATTAAAAATATGTATAAATTTTTTTTTTATTCAATTATTAAATAAATCACCTTGGATAAATCTTTTATTTAATTACATGTTTACGCATGGTGAAACATATTAACTAAAGAATTCACAGACAATTAAATACTAAGAATAAACTTTATTTTTAATACAAATAAATAAACATAACAGACATAATAGAATTTAAGTATATAAATAAACATAATAGACATCAGATCTTGAATAACTAAGGAGAAGAAGAATAGTAGAATAGAAGAAAATGTTAATTAAAACAGTTAAAACAATTAAAAATAGAAGAAAATGTAAATTAAAACACTTAGATAGGATTGGGATAATAGGATTAGACAAAAATATGATAACCTAGTTTTGTACCTGGGAGATCTCTCAACGTCTGAGGATAGATAATACACAGGCAAATTTACATAATAATTAAAAACCTTTAAAAGCAAATACCTAATTTTATGCTTGTTTATTATTGACAAACAATGTGTAAAAATTATGGCTTGTCATCAATGACCCCTTGGCCTGACCAAAAACTCAAGTAAGAAGGGTAATTTACTATAAACCATTTGTCAGACAAAACAACTATTTTTCGGTTTACTTTTTAGGTAGATAAATAAGTTGCTTATGATAAGCCACTTTTTTCTACTTTGTATAACATGCATACATGGTAAAACCATTGTATTAAATTTTTTGCTGCCAACCTCTTAAAAGTCAGCAAATTATTGCGACATCATTTTTGCTAATTCCGGCTATATTTATTTTTATATATATATATATATATATATATATATATATATATATATATATATATATATATACTCATATAGTGTCGCTTTAAGAGCATTTTAATGTAAAAAAAGTCTCTTACCACTACAATTTTAATTACCTCGTCTCTTAAGCTGTTTTTGATTGTCATCGAAATGTCAAAGCAATTAATTTATGCGGAAGTACATTAAATTTAATTGTTTTTTAAAAAATTTTTAAAAAACCGCAATTATAACGACTAGAAAGTTTTTTTTAATTAGTGGTGTTTTTGTTATTGATTTAATAAAAAACATTTTTTAAACATGCGTAAATGTTGCTACATCGACTATCTTATAGCTTGACTCGCAACGGAGTGCTGCTACATCGACTGACAAATAGCCTGACTCGCAACGGAGTGCTGCTACATCGACTGACAAATAGCCTGACTCGCAACGGAGTGCTGCTACATCGACTGACAAATAGCCTGACTCGCAAGGGAATGCTGCTACATCGACTGACAAATAGCCTGACTCGCAAGGGAGTGCTGCTACAACGACTGACAAATAGCCTGACTCGCAAGAGAGTGCTGCTACATCGACTGAGGGTTTGGTTTGGCCAGGCAGTCTATCAATTAAAAAAAAAAATTTAATTTTTAAAACTTTTTCTGGTCTGGTTTATTAACGCGCTCTTCAAAACTACAGTTTATGGGAAATATTTTTTGATGCTACGCAAGAGACATGCAAGACTATATATATATATATATATATATATATATATATATATATATATATATATATATACACACACACACACACAGTTAGAAAAACAAAACATTTTATTAGGGAAAATAAACTTTAACAGGTTATATCAGAAAAAAAATAACTTTATAAAAATAAAATAAAACGATTATTCTGAAAGAAAATTTAATTACGATTTCAATACGCAAAAAAAAAATATCAATAATATTTATATGATAAAAAAATAAGATACATTTAAACTACGCATTTTTTTAGCGTTAAATAAGTATCCAAACAAAAATTTAAAGATTAAGGGTTAAAGATTAACGCTTTTCCGATAATTCTTTTTATGACTTTTTAATATCAAGTTGGCCCCCCTATAGCTTTTATGACTTCTGGAAGTTAACATGGTATCGATTTAACTAATTTCTTTGTCGTATCTGAGTTGATATCAGCCCAAGCTTCTTAGAGCATGATCTTTAGCTCTTCTTTTCTTTTTAGACATCGTGTGCTGCATTTTTTACCCAGAATAGCCCAGAAATGTTCAATTGGATTGAGATCTGGACTTTGCACTAGCCATTCAAGTAATTCAATTTGCTTTTAGATAAAAAAATCATTTGCTTTCTTTAACATATGTTTAGGGTCATTGTCTTATTGGAAGATAAAATGTTTTCCTAATCGCAGTTTTTAAGTTGAAGCCAGAAAATTTTTATTGAGAATGTTAACATAAACCTCAGAATCAATAATTCCATTAATAAACTCTAGTTTTCCTGTTCTGTTCTAAGCCATCGATTCAAAATTTAGTGAAGGCAATATTCTAATCATAACATTGCCTCCACTAAATTTGACTGTGCCTCAAAAACAACTGAGGGTAAATGCTTCACCTTTTTTTCTTCATACTTTTTGAGCTCAATTGGACAAGATTAAATTTTGACTCATCCTTACACAAAACTATTCTCCAGAATGATACGGGCATATTTACATATTTTTTAGCAAATGCAAGCCTTCGTTTTCCATGGATTTTTGAAAGGAACGGTTTCTTGCGTGGAACTCTTGCTTTGAATCCACTTTCTTTCAATCAATTTTGAATAGCACATAAGCTCACTTGTAACCCAAAATCTTTCTGAATGAGATTTGACACCTTTGGTGCTGATAAAAGAGGTTATTTTGCACCATCTTGACAATTTGTCGATTTATTTTTAATGTTGTTTTACGCTTAGCTCCAGATCTTGGCTGATTTTGCACATATCCAAACATATTATACTTTTTAATAAGATCGCTGATGGTTCCTAATACCATTCCAGTCGCTTTATTTATCGACCTAAATGTTTTACCTTGCTTGAACAAGTCAATAACCAAATTGCGCTAAGCTTGTGACCATTCCTTGATTTTAACTCCCATACGTGATGATATCAATGGTAAATCAAATGAATTTAAAAAAATATCAGTCAATTATTAAAAATTAATTATTGTAAAACAACAATATTTCTAAAACTATTGATTTAAAAACTTAGTTATAAAAATGAGCACAAAAAAAAGTAGATGTAAGAAAACGCATGTATAAGTTCTACAAAATTAATGTTACACAAGGAAAACTGTTTACTTATCATTTTAAAGCAGAAAATGTTCCGAAAACAACTGTATAATGTAATTGTATAATTAAAATACATGAAAGTAGAGTTCAAAAAATAAAAATAAATTGAAAGGAAATAGTACAAAAATAACAAAAAGTAAAGCCAACCAGCTGGCTGCTTGTTTTGACAATAACCCCAAAGCAGCCATTAGAAAAGGAGTCAAAAAATTCAAAATTTCGATCATACAACCATAAATTGTTGAAAACCAAGACAAACATCAAATATTGTCACCGGGAATCAATAGCAAAACGGTTTGACTAGCTAAGCCTTTAATGCAAAAAAAAAAAAAAAAGCAGAATAATGCCTTAAGCAGTTAAGCCTCTAAATGTGAATACTTGTATAAATAATTTTATTTTGGATGACCAATTTTATTTTACTTTGTTAAACTTAGTTGTTGGGTATGATGGCTATTACTCTAGTGTCCCCAAGAATGTTTCTCCAGACCTCAAGTGTAAAGAGAGTAAAGTATTGGTATGGCTTGCAATTAGCGCTAAGGATATGAATAGACAAAAATATGGACAAAAAAGCTTGCATTGAAATTCAAGCAATCTGGCTATTCTGTTTACAAAAAAATGGACAAAAAAGATTGCATTGAAAATATTTTGATTCTGTTCTTACATGAAAAATTACCTAGACAATTACGTGTTTACCCTGACTTTGCCACTGTTCTTTATGCCAAAAATTTCATTGCTTAGCTGGACAATGAAAGTATCAATAATGTTCTTAGAAGGATAATCCTGCCAACTATCCTGAGATAAAGCCAATTAAAGACTTCTGTGTTTATTTGAAAGGTTTAGGCTACAAGGAAATATTGGAAGAATCAAGTATTATTTTAAAAAAATTACTTCAGAGGTAGTACACCAGTTTGCGAGCTTGACTAAAACCATCTTTAAAGTTTATTTTAAAGGACTTGCAAAAAAGAATTGATTAACAATATTAAATGACCATTAGCCTAGCAAAATAATTTTAATTAAATTTTTTTCAAAAAAACAAGTTTTTTAAATAATAATAATACTTTGTTGCCATAAAAAATTAAGATGCCAGTTTTTTTATGGTTTATGTATAAAAGCTTGATTTCTTGTTATGGTTAAGAGTCGTGTTTGCATTGTTTAATTCTTATTTTATTAAAATGGTTAAATAATAGTTAGATTTTTTTTGAGTAAACACATTGTTTTATGCTGGATTTTTTTGTTCACTGATTGCCTGTTTCAGTTTATTTCACTAACATAGAATACTGAAATTTAAACATCATATTAACTATGTCTGCTCGAAAGTTTTCTTACATGTGGCTAAGATTGCTTAAAACTTTTTATTGAAAATAATATCAAAAATTTGTAATTTTGTATTTATTATAATTGAAATTAAAATAAGAAATACCTTTTTACTAGGAAGATTTATTCAGTCTTTGTCTTTTTTGAATTCTTCCATTTGGTCTTTCCTAAATGAATATGTAATTTCTACATATTCATTAAGGAAATTACATATTCATTAAGGATTCCCTATTTTTGGAGTTTTTCAATAATAAAATTGACACCACTATACCAAGTCTTAAAAATTTGTTCTGCAAAGTTTTAATTGAAAAAGAAAGACTGCAATGTTTGATTAGAATATGAGAAATAAAATATAGAATAATTAAAAAGATAACATGAAATTAAAAAAATAAAATAAACCTGACAGAGGTTGAATTGGATATATAGGTTCTCCTCTGTACAAAATAACATTTATTGATTATAAGTTTAACATCTATATCTTCTTTTTAATTTTTTACCAATAAGGATTATCAATGTGTTTGATAAATATTTTCTTACCAGAAAATATTTTTAGAAAATATTATAGACCATACTTTGGCCAAAATCTTTTTACTAATGTATATTTCTAAAAGAGTCACAAAAAGTCTACCACTGGTCATACTTACTAAAACCTAGCTCCAAAAGATCAGGAACAAGAAATGTAGCCTCTTCAAGCTAATCATTCATAAGAGATACAGTTGCTTGTAGTGTTGTAATTAAAGTATGATAAGTTTGTTGAATCAATGCAAAATATTTACATTTTGATCAAATTTCATTACAATTTGCAATATCTTTATAAAGTGTGGGTTTTTTATTGCCTTTCACAGCTGTGTTGTGCATTGCTGTGTTGTGCATTGCTGTGTTGATTGCAGGGGTGTGGGGTCGTTTAAATAAAGTAACGACTCCGATTCTGACTCCAGTTGTTGAAATTTTTTGAGTACAACTCTGACTCCAACTCTAAATCTAAATTTTTGAAAAATTCTTTGAATTTTTAAAAAAATATGCGATAAGTTAAAAAAAGTTTTTTGACAAATTTATGAAACCTTCTTTGGGATTTAGTATAAATATAAGGTTAATTGAATGTTTTATACATGCACATGCAATACCAAGAAGTTTTACTATTAGAGTCGGAGTCGCGATTTTGTTTAGCGACTCCGCTAAAAATGTCGCAACTCCGCAATTCCGACTCCACAACCCTGGTTGATTGAATAAATTGAGTTTCTGCTTTAAATAAAGTGTGATTAACAACTTATAAAAAATTGATAAAAACTGTGCTGCATTGTTTTTTTCAGAAAAATTACTCTATAATGCAGGTACAGTTGATTCATCAATTATTGCCATTCTGATGTTGACAACATGTTTGTTGTGATGTTGACAACATGTTTGTTGTGATGTTGACAACATGTTTGTTGTGATGTTGACAACATGTTTGTTGTGATGTTGACAACATGTTTGTTGTGATGTTGACAACATGTTTGTTGTGATATTGACAGCATGTTTGTTGTGATGTTGACAACATGTTTGTTGTGATGTTGACAACATGTTTGTTGTGATGTTGACAACATGTTTGTTGTGATGTTGACAACATGTTTGTTGTGATATTGACAACATGTTTGTTTTTTCCAGGATAAACTTGATAGTTTATTTTTCCTTCCTTTATTTTCAGTTCTTGTTTAGTAATTGATTTTTTTTTAACTTTATGAAATATATTTAATATAACCAGCAGTAACTTCTACTTAGTTTCTGGAAAAACAAAATAAAAAAGAAGAAAAAAACATCTTTGTTGTTTCTTACATTTTTTATAAAACAGAGTATATCAAATAAGTATGTTTTAAATACTTCTGCTACAAAAAGGATGATAAATAAATAGTTTTCTATTTCCAGTATATGCTTTATTAAACTATAAAAATGCATTAACATTGGTAGAAAAGCTCTTACTTTAAATTCTGATTGGTGCATTATAATTTTTGTTTTCAAACATACCCCTGTTACGCAAACTCAAGAATTTTAAAACATAATAGTAATTTTTTGAAGTCCTACAATTATAAAAACAATTATTATAACATACTACAGTTTGTTAATTTGTAATTTTCACCAGTGTAAAAAAGTAATGAGGTATTAAATGCTATTGACTCAAAAACAGTTGGTATATGCCTGATATTTTTGGCCTACAGTAATTAAATGGCCTAATTTGTTGCATTTTAATTGCTGCATGTTTGAAACATGCAGCATAATAGAGTATTTTATTTTACGTCATTTTGAAGTGTAAATGTTTCTTAGAAAAATATACATTTTATTCCTAACAACTGCAATTATAATAAAATACAAAATTACAAAACTTTAAAATTATCTCCAATAGAGAATTGCAAATAGTTTTAGCAATATAAGGTTATTTTTAGTAGCATGTTGATAAATTTTGATATAGCTATCTGAAAGCCTATTTCAGTATTCTGAGTTGTTGAAATAAATTGTCCAGAAAAACATAAAATAATTACTCGAAAAAAATCTAACAACTATTAAACCATTTTAATAAAGTAAGAATAAAATATTTATTTTATTCTTACTTTATTAAAAAGCAAATTCGAAATGTGGTCTTATGATGCACAACAAAGCTTCTTAAATAATATAATGGAAAGCATTGGCAAAAATACCTAATTTACTATTTGCTTTTGAAGCTTCTACTGTGATCTGCATATTCCATTTTAAATTGTCTGACATCAAAACTTCTAAATCTCTTTCAATGTTTGCTGTTAATAATTTGATCTTGCCCTCATTATTAGTCATATAATAATTGAAGTTTTGATTGGGTTTACCAGCATCCATTACTTTACATTTATCAATATTGAAATCCATGTTCCATTTTTATGTCCATTTCACTAACATATCAATATCATTTTGCTTTAACATCACGATCTGTTAAAGAATTAACTGGTGCAATAAGATTGATCATTTGCATACAATTTGTACATATGCACATCTTCATAGAAATCTGAAAATTTTTTTTATTGTAGTTCCATTTTTAAAGGAACATCTTCTATGTATATTTTTTTAAGGCAAAAAGAAAAGAAAAAGATGTAGCCCAAGGAAAAAAGCAAACTAATTATCTCGTAATTTTGAGAACTCATTTTCAAACTATAAAACCTAAAACATTTCTGCTTTTAATTAAAAATTTCCTTGAAATAACTGAAAAAACTTTTGTTTTATATTTAAAATCTGCAATTTCAAATTAATTAATGTTATGAACAGTATGAACAGAAAATAATTACATTTATAAAATTATTAAAGATGCTAATGAGTTTAACTATCAATTTATAAAATGCCAGATAATTAGAACAGAAAGATAGAAATTTATAACAAACATGTAAGTATTATGCAAGTAAATCAAAACTAGAATTTCAAGAAATTATCATTCAATTGCAATATCATTACTAAATTAAAACTTCCAGATTAAACTTGTCTTTTAATGACAAATGTACGAAATATATGAAGATAATGTGGATGTTGAAACATGGATGTTGAACTTAAAATATAAATAAAAAGTTTACTTTTTAATTGATAAAAATCAATGCTTTTCATAAAAACATATTATAAATTATTATTTCTCAATTAAAGAATTATTATTTAAGAGTTAATCATTAAGTTTTATTAATTTTAATATTTTCAAAAGAATGCCACTAAATCTGTTGGCGGTATTATTTTGATAAACAAGACACAAAACTAGGTTATTTTTTTTTTAATATATCTTTATAATGATTTCAAAATATAGCTTTTTAAGTTTAACTATTGGGTAAGCCCTAAAATGAGACTTTTCTTATATATACTCTTATATATACACAAACACAAACAGATTTTTAAAACTTTATTTGTATTTAAAAGTTAACGAGACTTATAAATTTAATTTTATAAGATTTTGTTAAAAGTAGAAAATTATGAAACTTTTTGATTCTAAAAAAGGTTTGAAAACTCAAAATTTTATTCCTCAAAACAAGTTTAAAAATCTTCAAATCCAATTATGAATAAAAAATTGAGGATTAAAGTGGATGATTTATTGATTTAATTAAGGTCTAATTGTTACAAAGAACAAATTCTCATACAAATTTTTTAATTTTATCAATAAAACAAAGTAGTATAACATTTGAAATAATATTTTTTCAAATTATTTTTAAATCTCAATAAACAGGGTTTATTGAGATTTAAAAACAATTTGATATTACTTCTAACTTTATAAATGAAGTTAACTAAGCCCAACAAGTTTTTAAATAGGAACAATATGTCTTACTTTAGAGACTTGAACATATAAAAACCCTAAAAAAAGTCACAATTTAAAAATGATTCACTCTAGATATATAAACCATAATTTTGAAAAGTGAGCAAAACAAACACTCAGAAATTTTCTAAATACTTAATACACATATTTGAAGAAAAATAACAGCCAATCCATTGTACCTGATTACATCAATTAACAATCACTCTGGTTTTAGTTTATAATTTGTATAAAAAAATAAGCTATCAATTACTTAAAATAATTGTATGCTTGAATTTCTTACATATTATTATGTAGATTACTTATTATTAATTGTAACAAAAATAATGTACAAATATCATGCTATTAACATATCAGATAATTTTTGTATCAATGTTACTGATAATATCACATGTTCTGAGTTAATGCTTATCTAAAATAAGGTATGATATATACTATTTTTACACATTTGGAAGGATAAACATGTGATGTGTATACATAAAAATAAATTTAACAAATTCCCTTATAAGCAAAAAAAAATGAAAAAAATTTAATTAAGTCACAATTTATTATGCTATATCAGGGATATACCATAAAAACTGCGGCTTTAGTAGATTCATTTTATTTGTATATTAGTCCTAGCTTTAATATTATTTGAAACTTTTTCACTTTAATATTATTTATAAAAGTATTAACTATTAAATAAAAAAGTAAATAAAAGTATTAAATTATTAATATTAAAGTAATACTTATGATGAATTATAAATATTATTAAAGTGAAAACCTAGAAATAAAATTTTAGATAATTTTCTTGTTAAGTTTATTTAAGTATACTTAAAGTACAAAATAATTTTTGATTTCAAATACCTTAAATAATTTAAATTTCCAAATAAAGTTAAAATAATTCAAAACTTCTTTTATAGAATTACTAATAAAACACAAGTGACTCATAAACTTCTTTTGTTATTATGCTAAATTTCTTATAATATTTATAGTTGAAGTTAAAAGACCTATTACATAACCAATAAAAGCAATATATCTTTTTCACCTCTCAAACATAACTTTAAAATTAATTTTTTTTTTGAGAAGATTTTTATTTGCTAAGTAAACTTAACTCAAGAAACGGCTACATAACAAAAAAATAACTGTGGTTTTGATTATTTATACAAATTTAAAAATTTTAATTTTAACTCAGTTTAGTATTTTCACTTGATAATCGGTAATACGTCGTCCTAATTTGCGTAAAAGATTTATGATCCGCGAGAATGGCCCAATGTTAAATTCTGATATTATGTTGGGCCATTCTATTAATTCCATTAATTATTATATTATTAATATAATACCGCTCCATTACCAATCACGAGTTACGAGTCATGATTCACGAGCCAGGAGTCCCAGTACCAAACCAATATCACTCAGGCAACGGAGAGGGGCTTAAAATTTTTCTAATCTGATGAGAAACATTTTAAGTCCCCCTACGTCGCCTGAGTGACATTGGTTTTGGTACTAGGACTCCTGGTTCCCTCCGTCGCCTCAGTCGCCTGACTGTTGCCTGAGTTCCCTCCGTTGCCTGAGTGACATTGGGACTCCTATAATTAGTATTCATAGTTTGAATTTATTTCCTTTTATTTTATTATTACTTTTGCAAACACTTCTATTAAGTATGTAATGTAATTATTCTAACGCATAATTTTAATTATATTTTTACGTGTTCCCTCGTAATTTTTTGCTTGTGAATGTCAATTGTAATCAGGGAGATTACAACGTCAAAAGATTTTCTTCATCTGGTGTGAAACAGAGTACATAAGCTCCACTCTTATACTCTGTCTAAGGTCTTTTAATCTTTTAAGATACCACAATTCCTTTAATGAATCTTGAAAAGCACGTGTCAAGGAAACACGATCATATTTTTCGCTAACACATATAATCTAAAGGTTGGCATTATTCCGCTTGAACAACTTAAACCGCAAACACAGAACTAAGGTGGTATTTTGGTATTACTATTTGTTTGCAATCTTTTACTTGTAATATATATCTTTCAAAAATTACTAACATATTACCAAAAGAAAAAAGAAAAAAAATTGTAAAACTTAACAAAAACTTGCACAATGTCAGTATACTAGAGGTTTTTTTCCAAAGCTAAAATTTTAGAAAAATAAATAGAAGTTAAATCAATAGGTAATTTATTTAATTTAACCTTATTCAACAGTTATTGTTTATTTTGCTTTGTTTATAAATAAACTATTACTTTGTAGTGCTCAGAGTTCAAAATTTTAAGAAACTATAAGTTCTTCTGTTAACACTGCGTATTCATTTTACACTACATGCATCGTCTGATTAAAAAAAAAAAGTGTCAAGCTTCTTCTCCGTAGGTAGTTCCCTCACCGAGGGAATTTAAGCATAGTATGAAGTACTTTGAGCGTTGAGCGCAAGTTCTTCCCACTCAGCTCCACTCATATACTCTGTTTCAGACCAGATGAAAAAAACCTTTATGGACCAGCTAGACTTTATAAGATTTTTTTTAAATGTCAAGAGGGCTAGACCATTCATTGTAGCTTTCATCTAAGGTACCATAAAACCTTTCTGTTATAAAAGTTAAAAAAACAGTAAAAGAACAAAAGGAATAAAATTCCATTGTTTCTCAGAGAGTGAATCGTTTGACTCAAGATGATATATCAAAGTTTGTTAAACTAATGATTCAAAGACCTTGCTGTAATAGCAATAAATTAAGAAGACCGGTTAGAGGGGCCAGAATAAATGTTTAAAAAATCTCTCCAGAGTTTTTAAAGTTGGAAACACAGATGCCATGTCAGAGAAAATAGCATGTTCTAAACTATCTAAAAGAGTAAAGTAATAAACTAAGTACAGTCTAAGACACAAACCAAGGTGGCTAGATACAAATCAGAGAGGCTCAGACACAAAGCAAAAAGGCTAGACACAAATAAAAGAGAATTGAAAGAAATCAAGAAGCAAACGTGAGATTAATTTGATTTGGATATTTTTTTTATTAACAATATAAATTAATAAATTATTTTAAGGTGAAATATGACTGGAACAAGTTAAAGTCTATACTATAGTCTATACTATAGAATGAAGTCCATAAGATAGACTATAATTTTACCATCTTGCGCCGTTAATTCTATTTATATTTTAATAAATATCAATAGAATAACTAATTTAACTAAAAATAATAAAATAGTTAATAATATAGTTAATAATAAAATAATATATATAAACTTAACTAAAAATAATAATATAGCTATAATAAATTCATGTTTTACAACTGATACTTAATAAAATAAGTATCAGTTGTAAAACATGGTGCTTATTTTATTAAGCATTTACTGTAACCTTAACAAGTCTTTGACCTGAATCCATAGCTATCCTTAAAGTAGAGTCACGTGGTCTTACTCCTCTTCCTTTTTAACAATGTGCTGTATAAATTTAGATGTATCATTTACATGAACCAGTGTTCTAGTAAAACTTCTTCTTTATCTATGAATTCTTCTTTAGGTGTAAAACTCATCAATTTGGACATAAAAAAATATTTTCAAAAATATTTTTCAAAAATTATTATAACTTTAAATTTCTCCAATATTTTCAAAAATCTCATTTGGATTGGCTGCTTATACTAAACAAATAATGTCCCCTTTGGAAATATGTATATAAATTGCGTACTTATCGAAGCCTCGCTCTCTTGGAGTAACCTATCAAACATCAACGGACTCAAGCAACTGTTCTACTACTAGCTGTGATCTACAATATCTTCTTTGTGTTTATCGCATATTTGTATATAATATATTAATTATAATGAATTGAACTCGTTTTCCAATACGACTCTTACGTAAAACAACATGGAGATCATTTCTTATTAAGATGAAGGGTTTTCTACTAAAACCTGAATTGTAACCTCATCAACTTGAGGGGGAATTCAAACTTTATATCGTCATAATTTTTAAACCCTAAGAGATTATACTACGAAATTTAAAATTTACTAATGAAAATAAGTTTAATTAAGAATAGTAAAAAAAATATCTTATCAACTTGTTGCTCTTACGTTTGGAGTAAGGAAGGGGGCAAAAAATTTGACCTTTTTTGTTCTCAGACTTCAATCATCGCAATTTTTTACAAAGCATTCTTATTTGACATAAGCATAAACATATGAATATTTTGAGTTTGCTTCATATCTGTAAGTTAATTATTTCAAATATCAAAAAATGCTGGACTCGCCATTGCAGGGCTGTTGAATACTTTTCAAAAAAAGATTATGGCGAAGAAAAATCTCGGGATGCTTTATCAGTATTTATTTGTGTAAAACCAGGTTTAATACATAAATCATCTCGTTTGATACATAAATCATCCATATAGAATTTCTTCATGATTGCATGCAGTAGCTAGAAATATTCAGCCTGACAAGTTGTCTGCTTTCAATTTATAAGATATTATACGATCGTTTAATAATGTGAAAACAAATATAGGAAACTGCAGTTTTAATGCCGTTGATATATTATTAACTGATATATTATTAAACACAAAAATAGAAAATGAAATGTTTATTTATTTATCAGATTTCTTTAAAGGTGTTCCATTGTTATTCTGAAAATATATAGCAATTTCTTGTAAGAATTCTTTGATTGTGGCGTCAAATATAAATTAATTTCAAGGAGGAATCAAAAAACTCGTTGAACATTGGAAGCAAGTCATAAACAACAACGGAGAATATATAACTGATTTGATGTTTAAAAGTAAAGTTATATATATATAAAAACGGCAACTATCGGACAACCCAATATTTCAAGAATATGTAAAATTTAACGTAAATAAAAACTATTTGATGTTTCACCTAAACAAATTTGACTTTTGAATTCAGAGGCAAAAAATATAAAAATAGTTAAAAAAAATCTGGGCAAGACAAACTTTATTCAATGAGTGATACATTTGTTACCAATAGATATTCTATTGAAAAAATGAAAGAAACATTTCAGTACAACCCAATGTAACTTGTTACAATATAATCATCTTAAAAAGACTTAAAGTTTTTTAGCATTACAGCATTAACAATGATACACTTTTAAAGTAAAACTTATTAATAAGTATATATATCAACAAAAAGATTTTTTAAGTTTATCAGACATTACACTTAAAGTTGTATTCTTCTATTAGATGAAACTTTTAACTAAACTATATTACTGTACCATGGGGATACTGTATCATAGCCATGACATATACACTCATGAGAACCATATATAAAGCATCTAACAATCATGCAAATACTGATTTAGGTTTTATAGTGGTTACTTTGGTGAATCCATTTTTTATGTAAAATGCATAAAATTAATTCAAGTTTTCTTTTTGAACAAACTTTTATCTGCCATAAAAGGAGCAGGTAGTCATGTTGTATATATAATTTTTGATTGTAACAAGATAAACTAGGCCAATATCAAGAAATTTACGACAGATAGATTACTGATCAAAAATAGTAAGCAACCTGTTACAGGTTGCTTACTATTTTTCAATTGGTTTTGGGAATGCATCTGTATATAGAATTTTGATACAGTGTATCAAAATTCTATATACAAGTGTGTTCTCAAAACCAATTGAAAGGTAAAAAGTATTAACTTTTCTGAAAATATTTTAGAAAGTAATAGCCTGTGCCTTAAAATGTCATCTAAAGTTAAAAGGTGTTGATAATACCATTTGTTTTCTTTCAATTATAATCAAATTTAGGAGAATTTTTAATGTTCAAAGCCCTTATGCAGATCTGCGTATGCGTGATCTAAAGCAATGTTGTTTTCTCTTCTGGTGATTTAAGTTTTTAAAAACTGTTAGAATTTAGAAGCATGGCAAAAAAAATGTGTTTTTCTCAAAAAGTTTGTTTCAACTAAATTATTTCAAAAAGTCTCATACTTGTAATGGTCTAGTGGATCAAATTATCAAAGTTACTCTTGTCTTTAAATCATAAACAAGTTTTGCGTGGAATATTTAACGCAGATCCTTTGAAAAACAGTTTAAAAAACTCAAAATCATGTTTACATATTTTATTATTGAATAAAAAACACTTTAGAAAGTTGATATCATAAAGATAAAAGTAGTTTTCCAGTTAAAATAATGGTGAAATTAGTCATAATTTTAATGCATTTATGTAAAAGATGTCATTTTTACATAAATAACGAAGAATGTTTTTTATTTGATAACTTATTAGAGTTAGAGAGTGCATTATCTACAGGTTGCAAAATGTCTCTAAAATATATAGAAATATATAAAATATATATGTAAAATTGAATATAAAAGTAGTACATGTCATAATTCGTAAAACAGCTAAATTCTTTTACTGTGTGTAATTTAATGATGCTTATTTTCTAATTATACCAATTAAACATGAGTGGAAACCATGGTTATACTTTCTAACATATTCTATAAAACTCGTAGTTTAATTTTTCATACAGCCAATATCAACACAGCTTCACAAAAAAGACAGTTTCCGTTTTAAAAAATTGAAAAAAAAAAAAAAAAAAAATTAACATTTCGTTAATAGAAAAAAAAAATTGTACAGTTAATTAAAATATTTTTTTATACTGATGAGATTTGTAATTTTTTTCGTAATGATCCTTTGACTTATGTCTTTCATCTCTCAGTTAATAATTGCGCCTCAGTTATAATCCCCTGGATTCCGGGAAGAATTGATACTTATGCTTCTTCTATTTGGTTTAAAGTTTGGGTTTTTCTTTCTTGTACAGCTTATATTTCTAATCCTAATCATTTTTTCACAATTACTTTCAGGAAAAAAAACATTTTTTTACTATTACAAAAAATTGATACAAAAGGTACATTCTAAAGATAAGGCTTATTATTTGAAAGCGCTAACGCTACCTAACGCACCTTTGGTTACCAGAAAGCGCTAACACTCTTCTGCTATTTTTTCAAACTTTAAAATTGATAGTGCTAGTCCGCTTCTAGTCCGCTACCAAAATAGTTTTTTCTTTGTATTTTTTTAAAGAAGCAAAAGAAAAACCTTACTATCCTTCTCTCCCTTGTTAATTTTTTGGTTTAACGCCACCTCTAGGCAAGTTTTATAACATTGCTAAGGCAGGAGGATTGAAAGTTATGAAAAAGATCTGGTCAAAAACTCGGACTAAAATATCATTTTTCGGACTAAAACATCAATGGTCGGAAATCTTGGACTCCGGTATTTTAAAATTCAGAGATTAGCGGGACTAGAGCGAGGCAAATAAATAATAATATTAATATTTTCTCCATTAGAAGTAATCTCATTTATTTATATAAACTTTTATAATAATAAAAAAAAGTTAAAATAAAAATAGTAATAAAGAGTAAATAATAAAAAACCTTTTTTTAAATTTTATTTTTACATAAAGTTTTTTTTAAATACTTAAAAATAATCTTAGTATTGGATTTAAATGTAAAAAATTTATAAATATTTTTTTGATTTTTTCCAATTGCTGTTTAAATTACTGTTATTTTTGTTTTATATGTATTATTAATATTTTATATAATTTACTGTTACTGTACAGTAACAGTAAAATATAAGATAACATGATAATATATAAGATAACATGTTATCTTATGATTAATTTTTTTTTCTTAAAAAAAAGAAAAAAAGAAAAGAAATAAAATGGAAAGCATTTCACTGTCATCTGATGATGAAAATACTAAAAAATTCACTAATACTCATAGAAATCAAAAACCTATTCAAGCTTCGAGTTCATTAGACTCGGATGACTTAGAAGAAAAGTCTAGATTAATTCAACAAGTATTTCAATTGCAAAATACACTTGATGATCTTTCACAACGAGTTGATGCAGTGAAAGATGAGAATACAAAACTGAAATCAGAAAATCAAATTCTAGGTCAATATATTGAGAATCTGATGGCTGCTTCAAATGTGTTTCAAGGAAGTAAAGTAAAAAGCAAACCAGAAAAGCAAGTAACAAAAAAATGAAATGGTTTATATAGATTAAGCAACATATTAGTTTGTTTAAAGGTTACTTAAGTTAAGAGCAATCAAAGTTATTTTTTTAAAGTTAACTTTTTAAATATATACCTTGTGTACATATGCAGAGTAAACTGAGTTGGAGAAATGCGTAGTTAAAATAATTTTACGGATTTTTTTTCAAATAATAAAATATAAAAATGTTTAATGAAAGTAGCTTGTTTTTATTACTTTAAATTTACTTAAAGAGTTTAAACTGGAGTTTGTTATCTGACTAAACATCTTTTGATATATTCTATAAAATAACAAATTGACTTAATAAAAATGCATGGCAGCAATTTAAATCTTTTATTTTTTTAAACTAATTTTTTTTTACTATAAATCTATTTTGACTAAATAATTATAGTTTTTTTTAAATTATTTTTTTCACAGTATTTATGATGTTTATAATATTTTAATAAGTTATTAAGGAGAAAGACATCTTGTATCTTGACTGCTGCTAAATATTTATTCTTAATACATTTTAAATTTTAAAACTGTTGTGTTTTTAGTTTTGATACCATTATGATAACAATATTTATTATTATTATTATATATATATATATATATACTAACACACACAGATTTGCAAAAAGATGTATCAAGTCATTGTATTTTTAAATAAATAGTTAAAATAAAACTGTTGATCTGTATTTTAAAATTAAAATAATTAAATTTTATAAAAAATTATTTATTTTAATAAAACATTAAATCAGTATTATAATGATTTGATTCATCTTGTTTTACTTCATGCCGCCAGTAATGTGTAAACTAACTGTCCTACTTATGCACTGAAATATTAGCAACAGTGGCGGTTCTAGGAATAAAATAAGGGGGAAAAATCCTTAAAAAGTGCTGACTGCTTTCAAAAAAAAAAAAAAAAAGATCCTCAATACTAAAAATCTCTTTGACTAGACCCCTACACCCCTTGTAGAATCGCCCCTGATTGGCAGCTTTATCAAGAAAAAATAAAGTTTAAATAAACAATTTCAAGCTTACCTAAAATTATTTTTAAAGTGTCATTTAAAAAATAATCCAGGACTCTAAATAGCTACTGCTTTTTTTTTTGTGACTCTGTCTACTATAAAAACTGATTAGAAGGAGAGCAACCAACCACATCTTTCTCTCTTTAAGTAATGTCCTAATATGGGTTGCACTTCTTACATGAGTCAGCAAGCAGACTGGAAAGCTATATTTGTAAGCATTCAAGAATTCTTTCAGTGCTGATAATTGAAAAATAGGATTATAAAACATCCTGTTATTTTTGTTTGAACATATCAAATATTAAAAATATTTGCATTTTTATATAGCTGTGCCCAATGGTTCTATTTACTGTTAATTTTTGGTCTATAGAATATGGTAGAAAAATTCACAAGTCTCAAATTAGTTGAAAATCTGGTGTCTTACAAAAATAATAAAAAATGTATTAAGCTTCTTATATTTTTTGCTCATTGTGAGAACAAAAATACCCCAAAAAGTTTACACTATCACCCCCAATTTAACAGCAGTTAGTTATTAAATAAATTAAATATTATTCTAAACTTAAATTTCATTAAATAGTCATTTAGTCTTCAAAAACTATGACAAAGTGAGATTTACAATCCCCTCATTTTGGGCTGGGCAGAAATTTTACATGAACTTTTAAATGTTAAAAGAATATTCAATGAAATTTAAAACCTGTCAATCTATTTAAGATTAGTATAATATGCTGTATTAACTGTGGCATTAGAAACAGGAGCAGGTACTAGTCTTTGCATTGGGAATATGTGCAGGTATTAATGTATGTATGTATGTATGTATGTATGTATGTATGTATGTATGTATGTATGTATGTATGTATGTAAGTACGTACGTACGTATGTATGTGTGTATGTATGTATGTATGTATGTATGTATGTATGTAAGTGTCCATGTATGTATGTATGTAAACTTTCATAGGTATACTGTTTGTCATAAAGTCAGGAGTTTAACTTTTAAACCAATTGACTCTAAAAGCACTTCCAAAATGAAATTTTTTCCATGTTTTTTAAAGGTTTCAATATCTGAATTGTCTTATCTGCCAAATTTTCAACAAATTATTTTTTGATAAATAAAATTTACAGTTAAAAAAAAATATTTTGAAAACATTACCACATATATGTTATTTTGGTTTTTGTACTTAATTTTACAAAAGATAATTATACAATGGAGAGTTATACAGCATCTTGTTATGAATTTCTCCTTAATAAAAGTATCAGAGTGCAGAAAATTTGGATTGAAGCATGTATTGAATGGGTTCAAGAAGAGCAAAAGGTATTAATTTGATATTATTTTGTATTAGAATTGAATTATTCCATAATAACTTTTAACTTTTTTTATACTTTCAAATCTACAAAAAAACAGCAACAAAAATACAGCAACATTTATAGACTTAATATCTAATTTTTCATTAATAGAGTACATTATTGTGTGCTGTTTAAATTTTTATATTTTGATTTATAAGCAATTTTATTAGGGTTGCTCTTCCAAATGCTTTTATTATTATTATTATTATTATTATTATTATTATTGCTATTATTGCTATTATTATTATTATTATTATTATTGCTATTATCATTATTATTATTATTATTATCAAATTACAACGATATCGTCATGAGGAATGGCTATATAAAGACCATTTATGGTAGTTGTAAATATGCATTTTTTATATAATTGTCATAATTGTTTTTAAAAATGTTAGTTGTTTTTGAGTTTTGACAGTATACTGGCAGTTGATTTCATTTTTTGACTATCCTGTTTGTAAAGAAGTTGTACCGGATATCAGACTTGTTTTGTTCTCTGGTTAGAAAGTTTTGTTGTCTTGTGCCATGATTGTGTTTTTCTTGGGTTATACTAGAATATAAGTTTATTTAGTCCATTTTTAATTTTGAATTGTTGTATTTGGTCTCCTTTTAATTGTCTTTCTTCCAGTGTTGTCAGACCAAGGCAGCAGATCTTTTCCTCGTATGTTTTACCACTAATTTCTCGGACTAGTTTAGCTGCCCTTCTTTGGACTGATTCAATTGCTTTGATATCTTTTAATTTATTTGGATTCCATACTGAAGCACCGTACTCCAAATATGGCCTCACCATTGATGTGAAGAGCATATTAAAAGTGGTATTGTTAATGTATTTGAATGAATTTTTAAGCTGACCCAATATACGATTTGACATTGCTATTACGGAATGGATTTGCCGGTTCCATTTTAAGTCAGCGCTGAAGATCACTCCTAGGTCTTTCTCAAACTCTACCTTTAATAATTGATGGCCATTTACCTGATTCAATTATATTTTTAATATATATATAATCCAATTATACTTTTGATTTGATTTCCCAATGTGAATTACTTTACATTTGCTCTCATTTAAAGACATTTGCCATGTTTCGCACCATTTTGATATAATGTTAATATCATTTTGTAAACTGATCGGATCGTTTTTATCTTTTATGATTCCAATCATTTTTGTGTCATCTGCAAAAGGTTTTGGATTATTTTTGATTTGTGATGCCGGGTCATTTATGAAAATTACAAACAGTAATGGCCCTAGAACCAAGCCTTGAGGAACCCCACTAAGCACTTGAAGCCAGCCTGAAATGGCGTCTCCTAGTATGACACGCTGTTTTCGATCTTTTAGATAGTTAATTATCCAGTTCAACATCTTATTTACTATTCTGTATGCTATTAATTTTCTGAAACAAAGTCGTGTGTGTGGTACTCGATTGAATGTTTTACTGAAGTCTTTAAATACTATATCAACTGGAATGCCGTTGTCGGCAGCTTTTGTAATTAGATCAATAACTAGATATTTTTGAGAAATATCTCTCCCCCTTTTTTTTTTTTTAAAGAAAAATAATAAAATAACACCAAGTTTCAAAAATTTTCTTATAGTAAACTCAAGATCATTTAACACTCTGCAGTAGGTGAAAATGATGTTAAAGACCTAAATAAATTATTGAAAAACTGAGGTATTCACTTATATTTTAGATTAAGTAGCTCCTTAAAAAACTGTCCAATGAAGATCCAATGAACTGATGTAAACATCTAATGTCTAACAGACTGATTTCTGTATGACCTGTATTTGCTAGAGTTTTCATATAAATAATAGCAAATCAATTAAATAAATTTAATGATGAAAATATCAATATACCTCATGAGCAAATTGGATTTCAATGAAACTCAAGTTGTGAGACTGCATTACTTTCAGACACTGATTTTTGGTATAAATGCATAGATGAAGGCAAATAAGGTGGAGCCCTTTTAATTGACTTATCGACAGCATGTAACACAGTTCAATGGCAACATTTAATGATTGAATTAATAAAAACAAACTGAAGTATCAAAACTCAAGCACAGTTCAAAAACTACTTTAAAGACATCAACAAGTTAAGTGTAATCTAATTATGGGGGCTGGTAACAAGAAGTATTCCACAACAAGATAGGTTAATCCTTAACTTTTCAGTTCATTTATTAGAAAACTACTATGTGAATTTGAATTATGATAGTTCCAGATTATCAAAAGAATTGCTGAAGATGGTTTATATTAGTCTTGTAAAAAGCCACATTGATTTGCTAGTGCACTATATGCACTAATTACCAAGACATATCTCACTAAACTCAGGGTGTTACCCAGGAAAAAATTTCATACAGCGTTTTTGTGGGAATTTAGGTGCGGCTTAAAAAAAAAAAAAAAGGTGAATATACTTTCATTTTTTAGATATAATTAAATTTTAATCAAAATAAATGTTTTTTTTTTGCTGGGTGTTATAGTTATAGCAGGATTATTTTTCTACTTTATAATTGTTTAATTCTAATTATTTAGCTTGTTTCATTATGGGCAATCTTCAAAAGTTTTCATTTTTAAATCATTTCTCCTCTTTGTTTGATATACTGTTTTTCAAAACACCTTAATAGGCTCATTACGTATTTCGAGAAAAACGTAATTAAAAAAAATTATTTGGAGAAAGTTATTGTAAAACGCTTTTAGAAACTAATAATTTTTATGAATATTTTTAGAACTCTTTAAAAATGTGTATTCAAAAATGTTTGTAGACATCTAAACTAGCTTATTTGGTAAAAAAGTCAAATTGATTTTTATACATCTAAACTAGCTTATTTGGTAAAAAAGTCAAATTGATTTTTTTTTTACATAAGACGCTTTGAAAAAACGGCTGCAGTAAAGTAGAGAGAAAACAAGAACTAAAGACAATTGTTTGCTGTTTTAATGAATGTATTATTAAATTTCATTGAAACTTTGATCTAGATTAATTGTGTACATCGCTTTTTTAATACAGTTTTAAAAGGTTTAAACGATTAGTTCTGAAGAAATATATTTGACTATATTACTATTTAAATACTTTAGTATTTTAAAATACTTAAAAACTTTTTTACAAATGTCGCATTGTTCATCATATTTTATATTATAATTTTTTATCATTAGATAAATTTAACAGTTTAAAAACTTATTTAAATCAATAGCTTTTAAATGAAAATTAAATGAAAGTTTTTGAAATCTTAATAACTTTTAATTGATAAACTTGGTTGGCTTGTTGATTTCCGTCAAATAAAATGTTTGTTAAAAGAACTTTTGTTGCAATATGCTACTTTAATTTAAATAAGTAACAAAGATATATAGGGGGCAAAGCGAGATTCTTTCACCGCACGAGGGCAGCAACTAAATTTAATTGGCATATTTTAAATATCTTATAAATTAGGTATTTAAATAAAAAAAATGTATTAAAATACAAAGTTATTATTATTATTATTATTTTTTCAATTTACATTACATAAAGTTTGTATTTGTAAATTAAAAAAATAATTTTGTTTTTATAAATATGGTTAATAATTAATAATATCAGGCCTTGTTTTAAATAAAAAAGTGCTTAATGCATTAGCTTAACACGATTTCGACGTCATAAAATTATCTTTATTTTTATTTATAGACGTTAAGTGTTAAACTACCGCAATAAATAAATAACCGCAAACTAGTTCAATTTAACAATTAACTCAAATAACTATAAACGTTTTAAATGTAATTTTATTATGAAAAGTTTGAAATGTTTGCAATTGTTATTTTATTATTAATTTTAGTTCAATATTATTTAGTAAAAAAAAAAAAAAAAAAAAAAAAAAATATATATATATATATATATATATATATATATATATATATATATATATATATATATATATATATATATATATATATATATATATATATATATATATATATATATATATATATAAACATTTTAATTATTTCTGAAATTTGTTTTTGAATAATTATTGTTTATAAATCGTTATTGAATAAAAAATAATGATTTTTTTTATTTTTAAAAATTTCTAGAGTAAACAAAAAATATTAACATTGATAAACACAAACCCATGTTAATTATTTAAACAACGATTTTGTTTTGACTACCAAAGAAAAATTTAGTTTTTTAAATATTTTTTAAATTTATCTTGTTTTAGCGTTTCAACTTGCGTTTTATAAAAATATAAAAAAGTTTAGTCTGCTTTGAGCATATTTTTGATACATAGTTTAGAACGCGTTCGCCAGGAATTTAATTCATAAATTTTTTATGTTATTGTAAAAATATTTTACTTTTTAAACAAATCACAAAGAAACAGAGCTATAGAGAAAAATCGTTTTTAACGATTAAATCTTTTTTTTTTTTAAGTTTTAGGAAATTAAAAAAAAAATTAAATTAAATATAAAAGTCTTAATTATGCAAACTCTTTTGTTAATTATTCTTAAAACAAAAAAACAAATACTTCTACGCAAATTTTTAATCGTGCAAACTTAAAAAAAATACTCAACTAAAATAATTTAAGTATATTTAATAATTAGAATCATATCTGTTTAAAATCAACGTTCGTAAAAATTTGTTTATTAGTAACTAAGTTCCTTAACTTATAAACAAACTCAAAAGTATTTTCATTCTACGTATAATTACAAAACTCTTTTTTTTTTTCGTTTGTAAGCAATTTAACTTAATAAAATAAAAAAAGAATAAATATGAGGTAATCTTTGTTAAGAACAAATTTAATTTATTTATTGAACTATATTTTTAATTTTAATTATATATCAACATAATTAAAATATAGTAACATGTTAAAATATTTTAACATGACTTGTGTACTTATAATATAACTTGATTTATGAAAAAAAAAAACTTATTGAATCGCACGCAGAAGAAACTTAACAAATTTTCTTCATTCAAATATTGCAAGTAACAGGTAATTTTTTTTTCTGTGCCGACCCCCTCCCCC